CACACACACACACACACACACACACACACACACACACACACACACCTACCTGTACCAGCTGCTGTGTGCTAGCTTCCTCCTAGCTGTGAGGTGGTCTTTCCAATCTCGGTCTTGGCAGTAAAAGGGGATAAATTTACATTTCCCTTTTGTAACCTCCGTCTTCTCATTTCAGATGCTGACTCTTGAATATCCTCAGGTTAGAAATGCCGATTACAAACGCAAACATGAGCTTATAGCGAAGTTTGTCTGTATAGCTATGATCCACAGCTGTCACCTTTCCTCCTCTAGAGGAAAATGGATAAAAACTAACTATTCTATTGTACCTGCTGGCTAGTGGACACAACGGCACACAACAGAACTCACATTTGATCACAGATGCTCTGACTTTTGTGACTTTTTCACGGACTAGTTCTAGGAGCTTACGCTAAAAACAAAGGCAGTGAGCAGGAAGTGGAAGGGATGTGCATGGCAAGAATTTTACCAGAAATACGTCATTAATGACCGTGGCATATAGGCTATTCAGAGCTTTTATCAGAATGAATGAGTTCTGAGTTAAGCTGTAGTTTCACAAAAACCCCATGAAAAGAGAATATTTTCTCTTACTTTTATCAAGTGAATCAACAATACACAAACTGATTTAGATGTGTTGCTGAAATATGACGTAACTTTTTTTGTGTGTTTCTCTTTTAGTAATGTATTTCAAGGCTTTGCTGTGTGTGTTTACCGCATGGCTGACATCAGAGAAGCTTTCAATGGACCTTTTGCTCATAAAGAGGGTCCCGACTATCAGTGGGGTCCGTATGAAGGCAGAGTACCTTATCCAAGACCAGGAGTGGTAAGAGACACATCATGTTTTATTGATGGAACGTTTAATCATGTGATAGTTTTATAATCCAAATTAAACTATACCTATATAGTACTATCCAGAATACATTGTTCTGTTCAGGAAAATCAAAGTAAAATGTTGGTTTTTAATAAGCAGATGACACATTGGCTGTGTCCAAAACGACAGGACGGGTCCTCCGGAGGACCCAGACTCCCCGGTCTCGGCAGGCCGGGTCCTTGGTGGGAAGACCGGAAAAAAAGAGGCTGTGGATTTGGACGGTCTAGCCTCCCCTCCTTACCCCGGCGTACATCATGTCACCTAGCAACTGTGACGACGCTAAAC